AGTCCGAGCAAATTACGAAGTTCGCCGAAGTCTCCATGAAATGGTCTATTAATGCCTTGCACCAAGCGAGGCAGCAGCTCGTACCATTTTTATATGTTATTGATATGTCTTGACCGAGGTTCAAACCCGCGACCTCCTGCATTTGAGGTGGACACTCCAACCAATTAGGTCACAGAAGAGGTCGATTCATTTTGCAGGAATCGGGTACTCAAAGTATGTATGTATGTATGTATGTATGTATGTATGTATGTATGTATGTATGTATGTATGTATGTATGTATGTATGTATGTATGTATGTATGTATGTATGTATGTATGTATGTATGTATGTATGTATGTATGTATGTATGTATGTATGTATGTATGTATGTATGTATCATGCATGCATGTATGTATGTATGTATGTATGTACGTGTATTTGTGCGTGCGTGCGTGCGTGTGTGCGTGCGTGAATGCGCGCGTATGGATGGATGCATGCGGTGTTTGTCTATAAGTGCTTTAAATTACGCATTTGCTGCTGTAATTTACGAATGTCTGGTTGTTGGCATGCTTGGTTCTGTTGTTGAAATTCGCAACGATTCAGTATGAGGAGTACGTAGATGAGACCTCGCAGGTTTGCGTTTATATGTATCTTTATATTAGATGGTAGAAAGAGACCAGGTAGCATATTTGGTTCTTTGATATTATTTTAATATGACAAATGTACCTAGGTAACTTCCTTAAGCATACTACTCATGTGTTTATGAGATTCTGTATGGTGCAAGTGGCTCTGGATGATCTGGTGTAGCGTGTGTGTGTGTCTGTGCATAGGCGTGTGTGTGTCTGTGTGTGTGTTTGATTTTTAACGTAGCTTTGACATTTGTCAGTCATATCGCATCGATATCTGCAGTGTGGAAGTTTATAGTGATGTCTAGCATTGGGGCATCATGCCGCATATATGTAACATGATGTCCCACCCGGTCACATTGTCCTGACACCAGGCCAACCAGTCCTAATACGAAGCTTTTAATGCTGCGCGGCTAGGAAGGCAGCTGTTTGTACATTTCTTATAAGTCTTTAATACGACATAGCTGAGATTCAAACCCGTGACCTCCGGCTTCCAATACGGGAGATCTAACCACTAGGTCACCGGAGCGGCCGCCCGGTAGTAGATATGACTTAGAGTCAGTGTGGTATCTAAAACAGGACAACATGAACTGTACGGTCTAGTAGTAGATATGAGTCAGTGTACGGTCTAGTAGTAATTATGAGTGAGTGTACGGTCTAGTAGAAGATATGAGTCAGTGTACGGTCTAGTAGTAGATACGAGTCAGTGTACGGTCTAGTAGTAGATATTAGTCAGTGTACGGTCTAGTAGTAGATATGAGTCAGTGTACGGTCTAGTAGTAGATATGAGCCAGTGTACGGCCTAGTAGTAGATATGAGTCAGTGTACGGTCTAGTAGTAGATATGAGTCAGTGTACAGTCTAGTAGTAGATATGAGTCAGTGTACCCTCTATTAGTAGATATGAGTCAATGTACGGTCTAGTAGTAGATATGAGTAAGTGTGATATGACTCAGTGTACGGTCTAGTAGTAGATATTAGTCAGTGTGGTACCTAATTCAGGACAACATGAACTGTACGGTCTGTGATGTAGAATTGGGTATCGAAGAAGACGCTATTTAAAGTTGTTACCATTTCTCGCTCTGTATTGATAAAATTTCACAAGTACACAGTAACCATCTTATGTTTTTACTTTCCAATGAACTTACTGTTATATGACAATGAAATTTCAACTTTTGTTACAAAATAAAGAAAGTAATAGCGATCATTGAAATACAGCCGCAACAATCAGTGCTTGGTTACAAGGTTGATGATTTAGTTGCTTGGCCAGTAGTATGCTTTAAGTTTTTTCTAGTTGCTAGTACAGTAGACAAATTTTGTTCCATTCTGGTCGCTCGGACAATAGTTAGATGGAAGTCTATCCTAGTCGCTTAAACAGTAGTAAGATGGAAGTCTATTCCAGTCGCTTGGACAGTAGTAAGCTGGAAGGCTATTCTAGTCGCTTGGACAGTAGTGAGCTGGAAGGCTATTCTAGTCGCTTGGACAGAGTAGTAAGCTGGAAGGCTAGTCTAGTCGCTTGGACAGTAGTGAGCTGGAAGGCTATTCTAGTCGCTTGGACAGTAGTGAGCTGAAAGGCTAGTCTAGTCGCTTGGACAGTAGTGAGCTGGAAGGCTATTCTAGTCGCTTGGACAGTAGTGAGCTGAAAGGCTAGTCTAGTCGCTAGGACAGTAGTGAGCTTGAAGGCTATTCTAGTCGCTTGGACAGTAGTGAGCTGAAAGGCTAGTCTAGTCGCTTGGACAGTAGTAATCTGGAAGGCTATTCTAGTCGCTTGGACGGTAATGAGCTGGAAGGCTAGTCTAGTCGCTCGGACAGTATTGAGCTGGAAGGCTATTCTAGTCGCTCGGACAGTAGTGAGCTGAAAGGCTAGTCTAGTCTCTTGGACAGTAGTAAGTTGGA